AAGGGTAGCTAGAAGGAACACTATGCTTCACTTTCTATGAGGACAGGGCTGACCCTGAGGTTGACAAAATCTTGAGAGGTCCTGGAAAATTTAAATGTGAGGCCTTTTAATTATTGAAATGCACACTAACATACGCATAAAGTAATAAAAGGGCAATGGGCTGTGAATTCATTTAATGGAAGGGCTCTAAGTTTTTTTTTTTTTTTGTTCTTTTTATTTGGACCTATCACTCATGGAAAGGAGCCTAAGTGACCTCTCACTCATGGAAAGGAGCCTAAATATTTTTTATTTTTATTTGGGCCTATCACTCATAGTAAGGGGCTAAGTTTTTTTTTCTTTTTATTTGGGCCTATCACTCATGGTAAGAGGCTTAAGTTAGTTGTGTGTGTTTTTTTTTTTTTTTTTTTTTTTTTTTTTTTTTTTTTTTTTTTTTTTTTGAACCTATCACTTATGGGGCTAAAAATTTTGAGGTCCTCTAAATGTTGAGGCCTTAGGCCACTGCCTTGGTCGCCTTGCGCCAGGGCCGGCCCTGTGTGAGGATTTGGTATCTATACATTGGCTTTGTGCTTGACATATTAGCAATTTCGCCCTTTTTTTTTTTAATGAAAAGTCGGTGGAAAGTGATATGGCTCCCCAGTCATGAAAGTGGTGTGGAACCGGACTCATAAGATACTTAGGTTAAATTTGGACTTTCCTGACTCATTCTTGGGCTACAACTTGGGCAGGTTAACACAGCCCAGCCCAACCCCAACCCAAAAATTTTGAAATTGGGGCATACAATTCACAAATCGGGCTCATGCTTGGGTTGGGTTTTGTGAAACCCGGATATATTCGGGTTGGGCTTGTGCTCAACCCGAACCCACCCAAAACCCAAAATTAAAAATAAAAAAAAAAAAAAAATTTCCCCCTCTCTCTCTCTTCTTTCTCTTTCTCTCTCAGCCACCATCCCTGTTATTGCCGCCGTTGATCCACCGCCGCCGCCGTCGTCCCTCGCCCTCAACAACAAAATAAATACGCAGAGATGATACTATACATATATATACACATATATGATATATCTCACACAAAACCCTAGTTACCAACAACAAAATAAATACGCAGAGATCTGAAATATATTGGTTTTGAAATTTTGATTCTTGCAGACACACACACACTCACACAGTGTTATATATATATTTAACACACACACACACACAGTGTTACACACACACTCACACAGTGTTACACGTCGCTCTCCCACTAACAAAGAACAAAAACAAAATTTTAAAGGTTAAAAAATAAAGATGCCTCATCAGTACTCACTTTTCGTGAATCAAAGGAAAAAAAATATATCTGTATACATGTCCATACAGTGATTTTGTAGTTTATCGTTGCAGAGAAAGAGAGAAAGTTGAGAATCAAACCTGGAGGCGATTGGGGAGGCTGAAATGATTTGCCTTAAATTTTTTTTTTTTTTGTTTTTTAATAACAATATAATCAAATATATAAAATATATACAAATTTCCGAAAAAATATATATATTATTTTTTTAAAAAAAACTCAACCCATCAACTTGACCTGACCGGCCCAAAAATATTCGGGCTAGGTTTTAACCATAACCCATATTGGGTACAATTCAGGCCAATTCGGGTTGAAGTTGGGTTAGGATTGAGTTGGGTTGGGTTGGGCCAGCTCAACTTGCAACCCTACCTCATTCATTTCTCCCTCATTTTTATATATAATACCTCAATTTTATTATTTTTCTTTCCATAAATGCTTTATGGGATTTTATTTTATTTCTCTTTCTATAATTATATTCTTTTCTTCTCAATTGTTGTCTCTCTCTAACAGCTCTCTCCCACATAATAATAATAATAATAATAATAAATAATAATAATTAATTAATTAAATTATCTTTCTTCAAAATTTCTACTTATATTTTAGTATGTAACAGAAACTCTCTGTATGTCCCATGTGTGAGATGTTGTGACGTGTATATATATACAATAATATTTTTTATAAAAATAATAATATTTTCTAAAACATAAAAGTGATTTACATATTATGTTAGTAATTTATTTTTCCATATTCACATGATTAAAAATTAAATATTAATTTACAAAAAAAAAAAAAAAGAATAAAATTAAGGGTAAAATACAGCCACACCCTTTGAGATTTAGCAAAAGGACACTCAGAGAAAATTTACCTATTTTTTGAACAAAGTCACCGCCTGAAGGTTCAAAAATGGACAAGCCACCCATTTACATGAGAAATTGACCAAATTACCCTTTGACCGTTTAGGAGACTTTTTTAACTTTACAATTTAATAAATTGGACCAATCTACCCGCATGAACAATTTATGCATAAAAAAAAAGTAAAAAAAAAACTTTATATTGTTCTTATTATTATTATTTTTTTGGTTATTACTTTATTAATGTCTTAACTTCTTAAAAATGTAGACGTATAAAATGATTTTTTGATCTAATACATATATTTCAAATAAATTATATTTTGTTATTACTTCTTTTCTTTTTCTTTTTTATTTTTAAATTAAGATGCTTAATTCTTTCATCTAAAAAAATTAAACCAATCTCTTTTCCTTAAAAATAAAAAATATAGTACCAGTATAACTTTATGCATCTTAAATTATATATCAAATTTTATGCATTTCCCAACATAAAAGAAAATAGGCACCAGTATAACTTTATACATCTTAACTTTATGCATACCTTTGTTTTTTTTTTTTTTTTCCCTTTGTTTTACTATTTTTTTTTTCCCTTTTATGTTGGAAAATGCATAATATTTGATATATAATTTAAGATGCATAAAGTTATACTGGTACCACATTTTTTATTTTTAAGGAAAAGAGATTGGTTTAATTTTTTTAGATGAAAGAATTAAGCATCTTAATTTAGAAAATAAAAAAGAAAAAGAAAAGAAATAAAAACAAAAAATAATTTATTTGAAATATATGTATTGGATCAAAAAATAATTTTAGATGTCTAAATTTTTAAGAAGTTAGGATATTTTATAAAGTAAATAACAAAAAAAGAAGAAGAAGTTAACAATACAAAGTTTTTTTTTTAATGCATAAATTGTTCATTAAGGTAGATTGGTCCAATTTATTAAATTGTAAAGTTAAAAAAGTCTTTTAAACAGTCAAAGGGTAATTTGGTTAATTTCTCATGTAAAGAGGTGTCTTTGTACATTTTTGAACCTTCAGGGGATGCTTTTGTCCAAAAAATAGATAGGTTTTCTCTAAGTGTCCTTTTGCCAAACCTTATGGGGTGTGACTGTACTTTACCCTAAAATTAAATATCAATAAGACGAATATATATATATATATATATATATATATATATATATATATATATATATACCTAAATGTCTATACCTATTATAGATGCACTTAAATTTTTATTATCTTTTCTCTTATCTAAATTATAATTATATTATTTAACTTAATTTTATTATTAGTATCAGTTTATCATAAAAATGAAAAAAGAAAGAAAGATACGAAGTAGTAAGTAAATTTGTAAGTAGCATTTTTTAAAATGATTAACTTAATATTAAAATTTTATTATTTATAATAAAACTTATGATAACCAATTTAATTTTTTTTACCATAGGAAAATATATTCTTTTTTCATACAATATATATTAAATTGATGAAAAATTAATAAATTACCTAAATAAAAAATATCTTCTTTTTCATTTAATATATTCGTGAAAAATTTTAAAAATTAATGGAGAATATGTCATCAAATTAGTATGTTTTCTTTTTTTTTTTTCATAATTTATTTCAATAAGAAAAATAGATTAAGTGTAATTCAATAAGAATGGATATTATGGTCATTTATTAAAATATGGTATAAGTATTAGGGTGTTTTGTAACAAAATGCGATAGTTTAGAAAATATTATGCACAAAAATATAGTTTAGGGGGTTATTCACAAATTCAAACATAGTTTAGGGATTTTTTGCCCTATTATACACAAAATATACTTTAGGAGGTTATTCGCAAATTTAAACATAGTTTAGGATTTTTTTGCACTTTAACCTTTATTTTATGTTTAATAATTATTATATCATTTGGTATAACAGAAAACTACTTCCTAATTACTACGATACACTAATATAAAGTGAAGAAGTACCCTGACAAGCCATTCGTGGTGTGCACTCATGTATTATGTATGCACAGCAAAAGAAAATACTAATTTTTCATAATTACCCTTTAAATTTTCAGATATCTAACAACTTAATTACATCCACTTTTAAATTTAAAAAGACAACATAGTAATTTTAAAAAGAAACAATGCATTAATTATAATTCTTTTAAAAAAATTAAATTATAGAACCGAAGGAGTACACACTAAAAAAAGCTTTTGAAGAATCATTGACTCAAAAATTGATTGCATACATTTTGTTTATGAAACGATATTGCAAATTGAGAATATGGGATGAATTTATGACTCAAATACCAATTCAATACTTTTTCGGTGCAAATTTGTTCCAAAAATCAAATGTTAGTCGCTGAAAAATAGTATAATTTTGATTTTTAGGAAAAAATGTTAATTTGACTAAGAAGGTCAATTCAAAACCTCTTGACTGAATGTCAACTTTCTAATAAGATAGGAGACCTGAGTTGTTTTTTAAACCTTCTATACCCCTTTTTTCTTTTTCTTTTTTACTAGATTTCTCTACCATTATCAAGAAAACAGCTGTAGGATTAGAAAGTTCAACAATGGTGTGAGTTAGAATAAATCATAAAGAGAGATGAAGATTACAGTTACTTAATTTTGTTAGAAGAAAATATATATAGATAGAAGAAGAAATATTAATGATAGTCAACATTGACGTTACAATTCACATTAAATCACATGCGGCCAAAGTATATTCTAAAAAGAGAAAAATTATATTATGGGACACTCAAAATGTGAAAATGCCTTGAAAGAGATTTATTGACAATTGTGGTGCCATCTCAAAATACATGCTCTCTCTTAGTGCAGGGGCTTTGATCATCAGAATCTGTCACGCTTTCTGTTGACACCATTATTTTTGTCTTCCACTGCTACTGCTTCATCTGTCCCGTCCATGATTCCCAAATTCCCATACCCATCCTTCCAACTTTTCACATCTTTCTCACACACTATACGGACTCCCCACTTCCTCGGAGGCAACCTCCTAAAACCATTTGCCGCATCAACAAATTCAAAGGAAACCCCAAGTTGGCGCCATTCGTTTTTATTCCAATGCACCTCCTGAGTTGGAATATAGCACAGCATGATATGTTTGGACCCAAGGTTCTCACTTCTGGGGATCCAAAAGTAATCCTCGTCTTCACTACACTGTTTATCATTATGGTCTACTAAATGGAAACGCATTTTCAAACATGAGTGTGGAGTTGAGAAGTTAAAAACACCACACACAGCAATCCCAATATATCTCTCCTCACAACAATCTGGAGGCAGTTGCAGATATGTTGAAGTACCCAAATTCTGTTGGCTGAACCATTAAAATAATAGCAAAAGTAAAATATACACGGGATTTCTGTACCAAGAAAACAACATGTAATTCATATTCATACTACATACATGTGCACATATATAAATATATATATATATATATATAGAAAGAGGGAGAGAGAGTTACCTGAAACAGAAATCTCAGCAACATATCAACCACATTTTCACTCCATTAAAAGCAATTAGAGAACGTGACCCTAGCCAGTATTCTATTATTTGTAAACAGATCTCTGGAGCTTATTAATGATGGGCAATCATCTGCATATAACAAATTAATAGAAGATGGAAGCTCTGGTAATGCTTCTAGCCTCTTGCACCCAGCTAACCTAAGGGATACAAGTTGAGAAAGATGGGAGATGGTTGCAGGTAAACTAACAAAACTGTTTCTGCTTAAATTCAACATTTTCAAAGAGGATAAGCTGCCAAGGTCACTGGGGATCCCTCGTTCAGACAAATTGCAATCACTAAGATCAAGTTCTGTTAAGGAATTCAAACCTGCTAACGAAGGAAGCACCAAACACAGAGAATCTTCACATTTCCTTGGTAAAAACCAAGATGAAAAAAATGATTGAGATATTATTGTACCCTTGCATCCACCAAGGGATAAGACTTTGAGGCCTTCCAAATGATTAATGGAGGATGGTAGTCATTTGATAGCAGTATTATTTGCACGAAGCTGTGAGATATTATTTATTTTTTGGCAATTATCATAGACATAACAAGTCCAAGTTGAGTTGTAATTTAAATTACTTGTTCTACAAGTCATCAAGTTCAACAGGGATTCCACAGCTGGGAAGGAGTTCAAACTTACCTTACTTGAAGAGTTTGTGATGAAAAGGGTAAGAACACTATATTAGGAAGGAATATGAACAAGGTTGGACATTCTACACTTTCCATGTTAGTATACAATTTCCGTAGAATGAACCAAGGCTGAAGGAATTCGAAATGCGAGTCTGCCAACCTTGAACCAATTCAGCTTCCTTGAACCGGTTCAAGATGTTCAAGTTTGACACACTGCCAAACTTGAACCGGTTCAGCTTTCCTTGAACAGGTTCAAGACCTTCTGTTTGCAATACAACTTTAGTTTCCTTTTTCTAATTAATTTCTCAGTTGGTCTAGAATTGTACCAAATCCTATGCACGAAATTTACCTTATTTTCAGAGGGATTAGGTCATTCTATAATCTATATAAACCATGTCATATACATTGGTTTATTCACGGCTTTTACATTATAATTCAGATATTATTCAAAGCCTTAGGAAGTTTATTTCTCTCAGAAAATCAAAATTGATTTTTCTGTTGTCTTCCTAGAACCCACATATATTCACCTAGTGAGTCTAGAGTTGTGGTGTTTGAATCCTGATCGTGATCATACAGTTGTATTAACATCGATCAGACAAAGCAGATCTTCTTCTACATCATTCAGACAATTGAAGAATAGAAGTAAACGCAGTCACACTTTGGAAGGATTGGAGCATTCGCGGAGTGCTGTCTGATCTACCTGCTACTCTTCTATAAATATCAAGTGTAAGCCTGAGATCAAGTTTCTGTTAGACGGGGAGTCGCAAAGCTAGAGGATCATCAGCGGTTGGTGTGGTGTAGAACGATAGGGTGTGAGCCAGAGTCAAAGTTCAGTATACTTTGTTCCAACCATAGTGAATTGGTTTACTTTGGACTGCACAAGTCCACTAGATTTTTCCCATAACAGTTGACGTATTTTATCAATTGGGGTTTCCTCGCTAAAATCATAGTGTCATCTCTAACTTTGTACTTTGCTTTATTTTATCTGCATGTGATTAACTGTTTAATTGCTAAAACATAAAATAAGTAAAGTAGTTAAGGACACAGATCTATTTTACAAAACCTAAAACTTTCCGGTTTACATTCCGCTGCGTACGACTCACAATTTGGTATCAGAGCTGATCTCTATACACTGAGCTGATCCTTGTTGGAAAGTTTAGTTTTGTTATGTTTTTCGAAAATTGTTTTCAACATCATGTCTTATGCGTTAAAAGAAGGTGGTTCTAATCAACGTGGTCCTTTATTTGAATGAGATAATTACAATTTTTGGAAATCAAAGATGAGAGCCTATTTGCAAAATTCTGGTGGTAAAACTTGGGTAATAGTTGAGTCTGGCTATACACCTCCAACAATAGATACAATTGTGGATGGTAAAATAGTCAAAGAGTTAAAAGATACTTTTACTTTTACTGCTATTGAAACTAAGCGTAATGATGCTAATGGCAAAGCTTTATATTCAATTATTAATTCTGTTGTTCCATCTAAATATGCTAGAATTTCTTATTGTAAACTACTAAAGAAGCTTGGGATATTTTACAGGTTACTCGTGAAGGAACTTCAAAAGTGAAGTTGTCCAAAATTCAGTTGCTCTCTCATAAATTTGGCAACATTGTGATGAAAGAAGATGAATCCTTTTCTGATTATTATTCTAGTCTTCTTGAAATAATTTCTGAATTGCGTCATTTAGGGAAAAAAGTTAGTGATAAAAAAATTTGTGAAAAAATCTTAAGGTTTTTACCTAAAAGATTCCAGATTAGCGTTGAAACCATCTCTGAACATTAGGATTTGACTACTTGTCAAGTTGATGAGATGGTAGGTTCACTAAAAACTTTTGAGATGCAGAATTTTGATTTAAATCAGAAAGAGAAAAACCTTGTTTTAAAATCTACACAGGTTGAGAATTCTGTGAATGATGACTCTGATGATGACATTGCATTAGGCAACAGAGGAGAAGGAATAGCAACAAGGCTAATCCTCAAAATTTTGACAAAACGTCAAAGTTTAGATTTAATAAAAAGAAAGTAGAAGAATCAAAAGAAATAGAATTTACTTGCTGGAATTGTGGTGGCAAAGGTCATGCAGCCAATGTTTGTCCTAGTCCTAGGAAAGAACAAAAGGATAGGAATAAAGGAAAAGCAATGAAAGTTTCTATGGTTGAAAATTCTACTTTAAGTGATAGTGATTCTCCTCAAAATGATTCTAATGATTTTTCTTATGTCGCTTTTCTTGATAGGGGTCCTCATGTCGTTCATTTATCTGACTCTGACAGTTCAGATAACGAAGAAACTAAAGTTCATGATGAACAGGTTGAAGAGGCTGAAAAGGACGATGAAAGATTGAAAAAGATGGTCAAAGAAACTATTGAGACCAAACAGGCAATCAATAAGCTAGCAAAGGAGCTTATCCAAGCAAAATGAAAGAATGAAGATCTAAAGAAACAGATTACTGAAGGCAAACAGAAGGTTATTGAAAGAGAGTCAGTCATCACTGAGCTTGAGAAATAAATCATCATTCTTGAGGATAAGGTAAGTGTTTCTAACTCATTAAAGGAATGTCTTGCTTTGAAAAATGATTATCTTGAAATTGAGTTGAAATCTGAAAGAGATAAACTGAAAAGGTTCAATATGAGTTAAAACAGTTTGAATAAGATAATCAACATGGGTAAGGATGTGAATGATAAAACAGGGTTAGGATTTGTTAAAGTTTCTCTTAGTAATCAAGGTAAAACAATGTTTGTTAAACCTGCTATTATGCCTAAACCATGTTTGCCTGATGCATCACATTTTGCTATGTCTTATGTGCCTAAATTGTTGTATTGCACTTTTTGTGGGAAAAATGGACATAAGTATAACTCATGCCTTCATAGGAAAAAAAAGATTTTTCTAAAATTGGGTCTCAAAATTTTCATGCTAAGAACGAGGTGCGTTCTAAAGGGAAAAAGAAATTGTCACCTAAGGTTTTTAGAACTGAAATTTTGCCTAAGAAAGAGGTAAAGAGAGAAAAAGAATTTCAGGAAGTGAGAGTGAAAACTGTGTGGATCAAAAAGTCTGATTTGATCAATTATGTGCCTATTGAGTCTTTGGAACAAGTTTCCAAGAGGACTTTACCCTCAAACTGAGTTCTACAAAATTCAAAGATCATGGCATGTGTTTAAAACAAAAATTTTGTTGCCATTGGATCATTTGTTAGGGTTTGGTTAGGGTTTGATTTTCTGATTATGATCTTCTTTGTATATATGTGAAAGTTCTTTTGAAGAATTTATAATCTATCTTTGAATGCAAATAGAGACACATAATAATTTGAATAAAAATAGATTCTTGGTTTGTAATCTATACAATGAAAGATGATTTGCATTGTTTAGGGGATTTTTAGATTTGAATCTTAAGTTCATAAACTTTTGTGCACTAGTCCATCTTTGACAAATTTGGTTGAAAATCTTTTGATTTGTTGACTAGGGTTTATTGTTCACAAAAGCTATAAAGGTTATTGTTTTTAAAAAATAGGAGCTAAAAACAAAAATAAAAAGATTGAAAAAATTATTCAGCTTGAAAGAAAAAGAAGGAAAAAAAAATGCTGAATAAATTGCTAAGGAAAAGGCTACCTATTGAGATTTGATCGAAAGCTCCCATTAAACTGTGAATTGAAGCAAAAAGTGGAGATAAGTTAAGTTGGGAAATTGCTGACTACTCTTTAGAGTGAAAGCCGCCTTGCTTTAAAAAATTGCTTAAAACGATTTTATCTTGATACTTTTTTATCAATAAGGTTTAGACAATAATTTGTTGAAATTTAACTGAAGATTAGATTGGATTTCACACACACACATGAACTTGCTAGATTAATTTCTAAACTTTTTAGTAAATTTTGCATGTTTGATTTCGTGTTGTGATTACTTTCTGAGATTTGAAATTATTTGAAAAGTCTGTGGAGTCAAATATTTGTTCTCTGAGATAATCTTAAAATTCTCTGAAAGGGTTTTGAATCGTGTGCTAACTGGATGATTTTAATGATTGGTGATTTTATTTTTAGTTGATTTATAAAAAATAAAAATAAAAAAGAAAAAAATTGAAAAATTGAAAAATTTTGAAAAATTCAAAAAGATTTTGGTTTTTAGGTTTTTAGTTTGTTTTTGTTGCTAGTTATTACCAATGTGTTAAAAGTTTCTGGAATTGAAAAGTTTTTCATAAAAACACTGTAGTTTCAAGACTGGAGGTCTTGAACCGGTTCAATAAGGGATGAACCGGTTCAAGCATGTCATTTGGCCACGATCAAGTGACTGTCCATCTTGAACCGGTTCGAAATTGTAGAACCGGTTCAAGTCTTGTGCACCATAGTGCACTGCCCTTTTTGAACCGGTTCAAGAGGGCTGAACCGGTTCAAGAGCATGGGATTTGCTTTTTTTAAACAAGCTTTTGGCCTCTTTTGTTTGCTACATCACTTCATCTCTCTTGCACTCTCTCACTCCTTCATACATACACATATATATACATCATATATATTACATCTTTGTCATCATTCCATGCTATAACATTGATCAGTACATAATACTTTGAGATTGATAACAAAGATTGAAGAAGTTGTGTGAAAGTTGAAAATTCAAAAATGGGTTTAATGAAGTTTGTGGAGTTTTGGTGTAAAACTTAGAGGATTGGTTAATCTTTTGAGTTGAATGAAAAGATTAAAGCTTGATTATACTTGGGGAAAGTATATTTGCATTGTGTTGATTGATTTTGGGGTGATTTGAAGATCAAAACAAGGTTTTCTATAAACACTTTTGGGGTTGCACACCAAGTGTTTGATAAAATTCCTGAAAGAATTACAAGCTTTAAAGTGAGAAATTTTCTAAAAAACATGCCTCCTAAATTGTCTAGAGAAGCTAAAGGAAAAGGAATTGAGTCATCTAGACCACCAAAAAGGTCTAGAACTGGCATCACCATTCAAGAACCTCAAGGCGGTTCTCAAGCTCCAAACATGGCTTTTATTCGATATTCTTCAGTTTCTAGTACTGGAATGATTGAATTTACAGCATCACATTTTTATAATGAAGAGGCTTGGAAAGTGTATAACTCTTTTTACAAGGATGGTCCAATAAAGACAAAAAGGAATGTGAATCTTCAGAAACTTTTAAGACACCGCAGGATACAAGCTAGTGAATTACATCAAATCTAACAATTGGCTTTACTTCACTAAGCTTGGCAAAAGTAATTATTGTCCGGATATGATTAGCTATTTCTATGCTAATATTCGTGAAGTTCATGACACTTACTTCATTGTTTCTCTGTTTGGAGTTGATCATACTGTTGAAAAGGAGGATATTGAAACTATCCTTGGTCTTCAGGACAGTCATCTATTTAGTGGACATACTCTGCCTTTGATAGTCTCGGGTCCTGATTTTTCCTGGATTGTTCCAAAGATATGTGTGCCGAACTCTTTACTGAATCGAGATAGTATTCTAGCTCGATTTCTGACAGATGAAGTTGTTTTCTTCAATCTGTTTACTATGGCAAATCTGGGCTACTTTGGGAAGAAGGATGAACTCTCTCTTGAGCGTGCACAAGTGCTTTATTTTCTTGCTAATAATGAGTATATTATGCTTGGATAGTCTATTGTGCAGCTTATGATAGCTCATTATAGGAAAAACTCACGCAAGTACTCTTTTCCCTTTTTGATGATTATCATAGAAATTCTGAAAAAGAAGAATGTGCCAATTCCTCCAAGGGCTAATCATAAGCCTATCATGACTGAATTGGATCCTCGAGCTTTGAACAAATCAAAGACTGCTAGGGAGAATGCTAGAAAGGCAAGTAGATCTGTTAATGAGGGGCCATCACAAGTTTTAGATATTTCTCAGCTATTTTCTCCGAAAGGAATTTTCATGAAAACTGATGCCAACCTCATGTATTCCCATCTACTTCAGCATCAGAATTCATTATTTGAGAAGATGATGGTTGAGATCCGAGATCTCAAATTATAGGTTGCTCAGTTAAGAGGACAGCCATCTAGGGTTCCAGATGAGGATGTCTACAGGCCTGTGCCTCCAGATCTGTCTCTGCAAGTTGAAGATGAGGGAGATGATGAAGATGAGGCTGAGTATACAGATGAGGATGCGGAAGATGAGGATGCAGAAGAGAGTGGTGAAGAGGATGCAGAAGAGAGTAATGAAGACTAGAGATAATATTTCTTATCTCTGAGTAGTTGAGGAGACATGGTGCTGCTTTTATTTGGTTATTTATCATGCATCCAGACATTATGTTTTGTTTAATTATTGCACCACTTGTCTATGGTTTTGGATATTATGAGAATATGCTTTCTTAGAATTTATTATGCTTCTCTGAATTGTGCTTTAATTGACTTTTTTGAATTGGAATTTACTGTTCTAGTATTATTTTCACTCATTTGTCAATTTGTTACAAAAAGGGGGAGTCCACCTATCAATATCTAAAATGGGGGGAAGAACTAATTGGATATTTACTTCAGGGGGAGTTTTTAAGTTTTTATTTATTAAACTTCACTGGTAGTTGTTGCTTGATAGTGTGCAGGAAACAGGTCAAGTTTTGAATCCAAGAAGAACAGTGTTCCTATTACCTTTAAGCAAATCATGTAATTTACTTTTCTGTTTTTGGTAGATTACAAATATTGTTTTTAGGGTTTTGTCACGAAATTGCCAAAGGGGGAGATTATGAAATATTATTTATTTTTTGGCAATTATCGTAGACATAACAAGTCCAAGTTGAGTTGTAATTTAAATTACTTGTTCTACAAGTCATCAAGT